CCCTTGGGCTGCCCCATCTCCGAGGCACAGCGACCCCACCACTGAGCTTTGCTCCACCCCGATGCACCAGGTCCCTCTCCTGTCCAGAGTAAGTCAAGGCAGGAACCCATCTCCAGGAGGAAAAATTCCTCCCAAGTAGTTAAAAGCCAGTGCCCGGCGTAAATCCTTCGTGCAAGGACGATGGAGGGGAGGTTCTTGCCCACAGCACAGCCCATCAGGGAAACGTTGCTCAGCCCAAGAGTGCCCAAACGTTGCTTTGGGGCCGGGGTGCCAGGAGGACGGAGACATCATGTGGACGATGGAGGGGAGGTTCTTGCCCACAGCATAGCCCATCAGGGAAATGTTGCTCAGCCCAAGAGTGCCCAAATGTTGCCAGGAGGACGGAGACATCATGCGGCCCTAGGAAGGGCTGAGCCCCATCCTTCCTCCTCTTTGTACTCAGGGCAGAGGCTGGATGGCGGGGGCAGGCGCCAGCCCCCAACCATAGGCAGGGCAGGGCAGCCTGGCCCTGGGGCCTGATCCTGCACTGCTCTGCCATGGCCTAGAATAGCCAGTTACAGCCCCTCGCTGGTCCCACTCGCAAATCACCCACCAAAGGGGAGGCCCCCACTGGGGTGTGCTGAGGGACGGTGGGGACTGGGGTCTCCAGGGCTGTCTCAGCAACCTGCAGGGGTTGGTTCCATGCCCACACATCTCCATCCATCTCCTCCAGACAGGGGGTCACCCCATTGACTGGGAGATGGTGGCAGAACCTGCCCCACCCCACCCCACGCTCATTGCAGCCGCTTTCTTCCCCCAGTCCCTTTGGACCCTGAAAAAGTCCTTGAGGAGCTGAAGGAGAAGGACAAATTAGAGGAGGTAAGCAGATCCCCACGCACAGCACAGCTTCCCCATGGATGGCCCCCCCCGAGGTGGGTGGCATAGGAAACCCTCCTGGGGGGCCTGACTCATCTCTTCTGTGGCAGCTCGGCATCGCCAACATCACCTATGACAAAATGGAGAGGGAGATGGTAATCAACGATGAGTTCAGCACGCCCCTGATCATCACCATTGTCACCCTGGCTGGCTCCCTGCTGCTGATCGCGGCCATCTATGGCTGCTGCCACCAGCGCTTCTCCCAAAAAAAGGACCAGGTAAGGTGGGAGGGTGGTGGGACAGGTACCCCAAGGCCTTTTCGCCACAGAGTCATCTTCAGGAGATGAAGAGCATCAACGTTACCACTTCCGCTGGTGGAGACATCCTGGCTCACCCAACGGGCACCACCCTTGTGTGTT